GTTGCATTGAAGATATAATATTAAAAATAAAAAAAATGCTTGACCTGAATGGAATTTTTTCTTTTTTACAAGAGAGCAATATCAGAGGCTGTACAGAAATTTTTTTTTGTCTTATTTTGTGTTAGTAAGTCACATTTATAGGCCTACTATTATGTTAGGATTTAATAAAACAAAGTATGTTAATAATTTTTCAAATTTTTTAGAAGATTTATGTGAAAATTCCAATTTGTAAATCTAAATTATTGATATTTAGAATTTTAATAAAGTGAAGAAATAATGTAATGACCAATAATTTTAACAATGTAAAACTTACAAATTTATCTTAGTAAATTAATTTCTTATAGCTAAATACATTTTAAATTAAATTAGCATATCATTTTAATATGACCCAATTGATAACAGATTTTACCTCAATCTTATCATAGCAGCCACTTGTTAATATAAAGGAATTAAACTTTTTAGAAAGATCATTGTTATAATTGATAAGTTTTATAGCTTCTTTTATAATTGTTGTTGCCAGACAGAATCCTAGGGTATGTTCGTAAAGTCAAATGAGAATGACGTCATTGTATTCTTATTTCGTTAGACTTTTCAAACGATTCGTTTATAACTAAATGGATGTTTCTAAAATCGAAGATATGAATGTTGCTAGTGAAGTCTTATCCAAAATATTTTTATTAGATTGCTTCAGGTGGGCAGTTATTTAAATCATTTCATTTTTTAATTCACAATTTAAACACTCTATTAGATTTAGAAACATCGATATCATTGGGCACCATTTTCTTAACGAAGTAAACTAACTCTTTCCTTCGCAAACTTCATTAGAGTTTCGTTTGAAACTTCATCACCGCAGAGCATGCGCACTGGGCGAGACTACTACTGTTTGAATGATTCGTTACTAACGCATTTGACTTTACGAACGTACCACTAGTTGCATTTTTTGCAAAATAAATTTCATTATTAAGAAGACTAAAATTTGAAATCAGTTTGAATTCTTGAATTGATAATGTATCTGTAGAGAATCCAGCCTGCATTCATGGATCCCCTCCTGCTGGTTTGTTGTACTTAATTCAGTCAAATATTTTCTAACTCCATCACTTCTCCTCTCTTCACTCACTCTCTACTGCCCTCCCACCTCTACTCTGACTCTCCTTCTTCCACACATGTCCCTCTCTCCCATTTCTCACACTTTCTCTCTCTCTTTTTTTTTTTTTTTCTATGGCTCTTTGTCTCCCCTTGGTAAGCTACCTTTTCCCTTTTTACAATCATTTGTCTACCCTTGTTTATTACTTTTACAGCTGTTTGTAAAGAGATTGGATATAGGCCGGCAAGACAGCAGTCGAGGGGGAGAGTACGTCCAATATCATTACAGTGTTTGAATGATATTTGTGGAGCTATTTTGCAAATGTGATAAATTTAAAAATTTATCTCAGTTATATTAAACTAGCTTGAAATTTTGTAATAAAAATCTCAGTTAATAATCTAACACCTTCATCCACTCATGATTTTAATTGTTATTAAGTCTAGACTTGATATGTTAAAGTTTATATGCTATATTGGAACTCGGTTAAGCATATTTTAATTCAAGATCATACCATTACTTAATTAAATATATTTATTTATTTTATTTTACATTGAATTTTGGAAATACCATCAGGCAGTTGAATTTCACCGCCCAGTTCATAACAAGCCCAAAAGAAGTTTAAAAAATACATGAAGACAATGAAAAAACATGTACAGCTGCTTATGATTTCAATCAGTAGTTTCAGTTGGACATTTAGACACTCTTAATTCATTTTATTTTTATATTACTTGAATTTTTACATAATAATTGCCTATTTGCTCAGCTTTTTCTTAATTTTTTTTTTAAAACTTAGTTATTCTTTTTCAAAAATTTTATATTACATCACAGAAATGGATAGTTATTAAAGCATGTAATTATTGAACATTTAATTACTGTAAACCTAGATTTACATGTATCAACTCTAACCCAATTTTCTAGATTGACTAATGGGTGTTGAAGCTGTAAGTACTGTACATAAATGGCACTTACTTATAAGTAAAATAAATTCGACTAAAATCTTTTTTGTAATAGTTTAGATTAAACTTAATCTTTTAAAACGTAATAGTTTGTAATGACAAAATCTTGTACTGTGACAATCTTTTAGTATAATTATCTTTACATTTTTTTTTTCTTTCTTACTTCATACACTTTCTATAAATCACTCATGTAACACATGACATGTGAAGCATGAGACATTTGTATTTTACTAAATAAAATAAAGTATTTTGTTTGTTAGAATGTCATACTAGCATGAAGCATATCTTATTGAAAGGAGATAGATGGGTTGAATGTTCCAGGGCCTTATTTCTAATGAAACAAGTTCAATTCACAATATATGAATATTTTTATTTTGTCTACTTAAAATAGAAAAACCGTACTTTTGTTCTTGAAGTCATCTTTACTGTTTATATTATGTGATGATGAATTAATAACAACTTCCTAACTTTTTATGTAAATAAACAGCTCGTAAAACTGCACAAAGCTTAAATAAATACGCTAATGCCACAAATCCAGCAGCAAAACAAAAACTGACAAAACTACATGTGCACAGTTTTATTTATTTTTGTTTTGAATTAATATATATGTTAAATATGATGTTGCAGGTATTAATATATTATGTCTCCAAATACTATACTAATACCACTGTTGCATCCAATAACATAAATCTTTTTTTATTTAAAAATTTTGTCTTAATTATAATCTCTATCTGAATTTACTAGGTTAAAACCTAGTAAATTTTTTGTTTTAGTGTATTTATCTAATTTTTTTTATTTTTGATAAAGCAAAACATATTACATTTTAGTTTAAATCTCCTAATATATTTAAAATAACATTATGCTTTTGATCAAGTATAATTGGGCTAATGTTATGTGAATAAAATTTGTTTTATTAATAAAATATCTAAAAACTGATTCCAGCAGATACTTATATAAATAATGAATGAATAAATGTTACCTGTGCAATTTATATGACATACAACTTTGTTTTCAGGTTATTTTAATTTCCAAAAGATATTTTTTGTGTATTCATTGTTATGATGCTTTTGTTTTCGTTGGAATGTTAGAAGATAAATGAAGATAATGAAGATACAAATCAGTTATAATAAGAAACTCAAAATCAGAAGAATTTAGAATATAAAGTATAAGAAGAATAAATTCCAATTTCCAAAGGATTATTTGCTGTACTGAGCTTATTTTAAACAGATGAAAATACTTCTTGGAACTAGTTTAATCTTATATTTCATCTGAAACAGATGTGTGATAATTGCAACAGAAAATATTTTTCTGATAAATTTGGTATATATATTTTTTTAGCATGCTCTACATATTGTTGGCTTATAAAATGTTATAGGATTGGAGCTTTCTGAAATATTTTTCCAATAAAGTTGAATTATTTATGTTTTCTTGTTTGTTTGGAGTTTAAAACTGTGAATTTGAAAAATATAGTTGGAAGGAGAGAGAATTTTATTTGAATCATTTGTTTAGTTGATAGTTCTGTAAGTAAAATGAAAATTCATATTACAATAACAATAGGAGTACCTCTTAGGTATCTTCTTTTGGAATTCTATCTTAGTTGAAATAAAATACTAGTAGATACCAATGAAATTTTTAAGTTATTTGATAGTTTTGACTATTCATATATAAAAAATTTATATTTAAAAGGAAAATTTTATTTGCTAGAATAAAATTTGTTTACATTGCTTAGATTTATAATACTATTAATATAATAATCAAAGTGAAAATTATTGTAAATTCCTACAATTAAACATAGGACTATTCATATTTGTAAAAATCAGTAAGAAATTTTATTTATAAGTGCATGTTAAAATTGAAATTATTTACAGAAAGAAAATAAATGTTTTAACTAAATTTTGATTAGATAATGATGATTAAATATTTTTTAAGGAAATAGTAAACATATTATGTTGAGTATAAGCAAATATGTAGGAAAAAATATCTAAACGTAGCTTGTAAAACTAAATTGGTTTTAGAGTTACAAATAATTCACATGGTAAGAGACATAGTATACCTAAGATATTCATGCATTACTTTGAGAAATGTTCCTTAATTAATGCTCGGCTTACTCTATTCCAAAGCCGATACCATTTGTAAAAGTTCTAATAGGATATATTTTAGTAAGTTGTAAGGTCTGTTTTGATTTAATAAGTAGAATAAATCCAAAAATAAGTGCTTGAAAGATTTCAGGAGTCAAATGTATGTATCCATGTGCATGATTGACTCGTAAGCTTTTTGAGTATTGGTTTTTGGGTTTTGTCTATTTTAGCTATTGTCCGTTTTGAAGTTTACACAGAATTATAAAGTACCAGTAGTTTTTGAAAGAGAACAGATACAAAGAACTGCAGATGATTAAAGTTGTATGATTAGAATAAAATAACTCAATTAACTTAACAATAATTCATTTTCATATAAATAATAATTTGTTGTTCAGATTTGCCTTTATATGTTTAGATAATTTAATATTTACATTATTATATATACAAAATAAAGTCCTAGATAGAACTGTGTTACTGCTAATTTTAAGTCGAAAAATTAGTTTTGTCCGTGTTATCTTTAATAATTTGATAAAGTATAGAAAATTAAAGGACAAGATATTTATATATATGATATATGAAAGATATGTAGATAGATATGATATAGCTATTAGTTTTTATTGATTTGTAAGAGAATATCAACGTGTGAAACTTCATTATCTTCAAAATAACAATTTAATATTAGTCTATCTAGAATAAAGCCTTCAATAACATTAAATTCCTGCAAAATTTGATACATTTAAATTATTTAATTTTGGTTTTTAATTGATTTCTTTATAAATTTCATTCATATTATTGAAGTATTTAATAAAATAGCTTAGTTAAATATTTCTACGTTATATTTTAAGTATATTTAGATTTTAATGTCTTGAATTTTTCTTTCAGGTTAACAAACACCATGCAATGGTATTTTGTGAATTTTTATACAAAACATAAATTTTTGGAACAAAGTAAGTAGTTTTTCATTAGTTTCAGTTTATTTACATCCATTTTAAATAGGTTTAATTATTCAAAATAAATCTAAACTTTATAATTATATATTTAAAATGTGGAATCTAGTGATAATTTATAATTCTGTAGAAAGGAATGCTTAAAAATCCAGATAGCTTTTACAACATTATTAAAAATGTTTTTAAAATTTAATCATTTATCTTCGATATTTTCGTAATGTATTTTTATTTAAAACTTTGTTAGTTGCTCTTCCATTTTTTATAAAAGTTTTTTTAAAGTAGTTTGATGCTTTTCATTTTCATTTAGCATATAAATTTATGAACTATACTGGTGGTTCTCAAAGTTATTGATCTGCAAACCACTTAAACCGTGTCACACCTGTAAATGCAGGGTCTAAAAAGTTACTATGCAGTGAGAAATTTGTAATCGCATTAAAGTTATATGTACAGTATTGCATATGAAACCTGTAAGTTTTATGCAATATCATATGGTCAACTGATACTGAATGGACAATTTAGATGTATAACTTTAATTCCATTACAAATTTCTGTAATTTGTTAATGCCATTACAAAATTAAATTTTCATTAGCATAACTCTTGTAATAATAGACAAAATATTTTGACATTATCTTTTTGGTAATGTAACGTAAGAGATATGTAATGTGTAAAAATGTTCTTTTCTTTGACTAAATGGCATAGAGTTGCATTTTGGAGAAATGGCTAGGTTAGTTTGCAAACCATGTAGTGCATGTCTAAGAATCAAACTTTGAGAACTCACTGAACTATATTTTCCATTATAAATTTGTTCTTTATTTCATCTGTTGATGTATTATTGTTAGTTTTTGATCACAAATGCAAACAGTGTAATCCTATTTTTATTCTTCACTGGATATTAAAGTATTTTAGTAATAATTTATATGAAAAAGTTACACTGTCTTCACTCACTGACATAAAATGTTTAAATACACAATCAAACCAAATATTCACCGTAGAAAACTTAGAATTTAGTGTAAAACAAACATTTTCAGCTGTTTTATTTTAGGAGAAATCCTAAGGAAAGTCCTTCATTTCTTTGCCAATCCTATTGGACAACAGGATTGGCAAAGAAATGAAGTACATTGGAACAATGGTACAAGAACACCTGACATCAAATAAAACAAGTTAAAAAAAGAAGGTCAAAAGGTCAGACTTTTTACAACAGTGTTAGCACCTTGCTTTTGCCTTACATATAAAAAGTATTTTACAGATTTTAAACTTTGCATAATTATTAAAACTTAATACAGGTAACCCCCGTATAACACGGTACTTTTATAGCACGGATTCACTCTAACACGGTTCGAAAATTGGTACCATCCCCCGTATAACACGGTACTTTTATAGCACGGATTCACTCTGACACGGTTCGAGAATTGGGTAAAACCCTCGTACAACATGAAATGTAATAAATTTTTACATACTTAAGTAATAATAGTTCACGAAAATTATTATTTTCGTGAACTATTAGTACTTAAGTATGTAAATTTTCTCTTCTCGCCTTCTGTCGATACACGTGGTCCTTCTCGAAACTTGTTTCAATGTTGCCAGATCGCGACGCTTCTGCTTCTGATGTTGCCGAATGTTTTTC